AGGGTTGTTTTCTCTTCCCAATCTCTTAGTTCACTATAGTTTTTTACCTTTTCTTTATACCTGTTAGAAGCCCCTCGAATCGTTCACTCATCACCGTTTTTCCGGTTGCATCACTTGCAATGGCATCTGGAAATTCTCTTCTACTCAAAGGTGGTAAGGAAGCCGACGAGAGTAACAGAATGCTCCACACCCTCGTTCAGGTGAGGAAAACTCTGACATCTCACACTTTTGTAGCTGTATCTTTTTCAGGACATCTGAGCTTCAAGGTTCTGTAGAGAGGCGCATAGATAGTTATAAACAGATTTCTTAATTAGCTGTGAGACAATCAGTCCCATTCCTGAGAAGCGCGGGTCCTTATAAAGTTGTATGCGCTGTGCCACTTTCACCGCACGAATGTGTTGTAGGAACGCCACAGGCTTTCGACGGCTGAGACCAAGTATAAAATCGTTATGATCGGACATTTATAACATGGCGTTACGATCGATTTTGGGCTGCGTTCATACTTTGCTGCAAGTCCACTAGCGTTCCGAGCGTCCGGCAGCATCAGAGAATAGGAAAGTATGGATGCTAATCTAGCGTCTCTCAGTGTCCACCGCCGTCCTCCAGCACCTGCTAGCGTCTCGAGAACTAAGGGAGTAGATATGTATCAATTTAGCGTCTACCAGCGCGTGCCAGCGTGCACCAGCGTCTACCAGCGTCCGGGAGAGGAGAGTATGGCGCGATAGAAGGGTAGCAGACAGCTGGTAGAGTATGGTGTGACAGGAGGTTAGGAGAGTGCTTTGAGAGAACCTCCTGTCACACCATATGGCACGATAGGAGGATACCAGCTGTCTGCTACCCTTCTATCGCGCCATACTCTCCTCTCTTGGACGCTGGTAGACGCTGGTGCACGCTGGCACACGCTGGTACACGCTAGATCGATACCCATACTTCCCAGGCCCTCGAGGCAGTGGCGAACGCAGTGAGGCGCTGGTGGACGTTAGAGGGCGTTGGCGAACGCTAGGTCGATATCCTATACTTTCCTAGTCGCCGACGCTGCCGCAAAGTATAGACGTAGCCTTATCGCCCTTGTGTGAGCTGCTGTTAGTCGCGATTGTGTGATTGCTTCTGTACATCTGTTTACGGCATGCTAGTCCAATAATAAGCCTTAACAAGGTCTTACATGGAGCGTTTTCATGAGTTTCTTCTTCTTCCAAGTCAATTAGCACGTAGAGGCTCATATTTGGCCCCACCAGTCATGATTTGCAATCGAGGAGTGCATCTTCAGAATTAGCGCTTGACTCAGATGAACAATTAGGGGTGTACTTCATGGCTTCCGAGGCAATAGGTAATCCTGGTGTAACTGGGAGAAGTTACCATCGAAATTCACAAGTATATGTGAAATTCTTCGAGTGATCTTTTTTAGGAGGCTCTCGGCACTCACGGTTACGAGATGCGTGACGCTGTAACATTGGTGCGAAGCCGTGAAGACGTGGCGGAACTTCTTCAGCTTAAGGTCAGGCTTCCGCTAGTAGACATTTCATCGGTTCGCTCCTTTATAATAATCTCTA